TCATTGTATTGATTCAACCACCGATTAACTACTCTGAATCGGATTGCTGAAGCAAGTTGCGCGGTCCCCAAGGACGAGCCGCAGTTTACAGCTATACATAATGCAAGTGTTCGTGCCGAAAAAATTAACTAATTTCATCACCCAGCGTTTTTCCCGGGTTTACGTTTTGTAAACCCGGGAAAAACACTGGCTTTCAAAGGCCAAAGGTAGACCGCAACTATTCCTAGTCAAAGTTTAGTCATTAAGTTTTGATGTGTTAACTTCAACACAGCACAATTTAATTTGCAAAAGTTTATTGGACTTGCAAAGCAGTCTAAATATTTATATATTTTTCTAGCTGCAAAGTTGCAAGATGCTGTCTATTTGGTCCGTTGGACAAGTTCTTCTGGTAGCCATCGAACGCGTAGGTCTTAGACAGTGGCTATGTTGCGAAAAAAAATCCAGCTGTGCGCTCAACCTCATTAGCAGTTAAATGGTCTTCGTGAGTCGACTGCGTGTGTACTCGTCATACGTAACCGAGCTTACGTACGTATCCTGTCGAGTCTTTGACAGGTGAACATCGTCAGTTTCGTACCGTTCCACCTCGTCACTGCAGCATCCGAGATCATCATTTCGTATTAGCGTTTTTCTTCATTCTCATCCTTTTCATTTTAGTACGTTGATCATCACAAAAAAGTATGATTAGACCCAACCAAGGTACGAGCTTTAACAACGATCATATATATATATATATATATATATATACACATTTCTTAAAAGAAAACCCCTGCCTACGAATTATAAATCCAACGTTTAACGATAGCGAGCGATGATCTCACTGAAACCAGCCATTGGTCTATATACGCCTCACACCGATTACTCGAAAGAACCGCATAACTTTCGATCACGTAACCTCAACTTTGTTCACTATCAAATCCAATCGCATATTACTCATAATCATAAACATAATAAAAATAGAATAAATTCTTAAACGCCACGACTCCTTTGACGTGCCAGCGTGAGGATCTACTCGGTCGCGAGCTACCCCTACCGTTAATGTCTGCTGCCTTTGAACGTGTTGCTCGTCTCGGAGTTCGTGCTCACGAACACCCGGCTTGAAGCGATATTTTCTCGTTTTTCGTGCTCGTTGATATTTCTTGACTTGCTTTGCCTGAATCTGTCTATCTTGAGTTGTCTAAAACTCGTCAAAGTGTATGCGCGTCAGTCAAAGTAAACCCCCTACCGTGATTGAATGTATCGGCTGTTGTCGTGCTTTCGATCCAGATGGATTTGATTTTAATTGAATTTGGCCTTTATTATTATTATTATGGTCCGAGGTCCGTCGTCTCGCCGCCGGGATCCGGCTTGGTAGCTATTCGAAGTAAGTGACTATTGCCGCCGGTACACCTTGCGTCGTCTGCTAGAGCTAACGTTTCGTCAAATATTATCGACGATATGAACAAGCGTGTGATGTAAATAATCTGTGAATAACAACTTGACTTAGGGTAAAAGATGTATCATTTCTTGTTGTTTTGACGCACCGCCCGTACGTTCTGTTGAAACGATCTAGGGGTGATAATGCTTCGGTCGCAAGTCGTATCGGTTTCGTCACGTTGTAGGGTTCGCTATTCGGAGCAAGACTGTAGATAAATACGCCGCGTGAGTTTCATGCGATAATTGGACAAATGGGAATCAGGTACTCCATGTCATCTCGACGAAAAGTATTCCCGGACAGAGTTGATACATGAATTAGAGAAATAGAATAGAAATTGCGGTTCGACGGTGCTACGATGACAACAGAGGTCCTCTGGCGAACGAGACGGTGTTATAACGTACACGAACATCCATAGATGTTACCTCAATCCATTCGTCTTTCGTGCTTTATGCTATCTTGTCGTCGTTATTAGTATCAGGCGATATAAGCGTGCAGAGATATGGCTTTCACTTTGAACATTGAATAGTTTGTGTGATGAATAGGTAATGTTCTCTTACGCTTTATGCCGTTCCATGCAATTTATAGCAACAGATACGACCTATAGAGTATAGTCAATTCAGTTGACTTTCAGCTGAGCATTTCTCTGCGAGGTAAACGTCGCGTCTATGCTTGTATTCAAGAAAGCCAGCTGTTGCCATTTTCTGTATCACCTCCAACTCACCTCATAAGCTTTGAGTGAGCTTTCGGCAGAAGCGATTAGCTCGAGGTGACAATATCAAAGAAAGAAGAAACAAAACGACCAATGGCGATCGAGTGGATTCATACCGTATCGACCAAAGGAGATCATTAGGTGATTGTTTGCCATCACTTGAGAATACTTTCTGCCCAAAATTCAATAGAGAAGCATTAAGCAGAGACGATCCGCCAGATGTCGCTTCCGCTTAACGCTTGTGATTTGTACTATTCAAATGCACGCGGGCTGTATCAGTTATACTGTGACAATACAGCGTAATGTACTGGCTAGCCTTGAAAACGAGCGAATGGCTATGAATGCATTTTTTCTGCGGTATGAAAGTCCACTTGATCGTATCTCACTGCTCAGCTTTTTCTCCGTTAAGAGTACCGGAAGGACCGAAAAGATGGGTGCTTACTATAACCTATCCTATCGTTGTTCCCAAGATTAAAAGGTTCGCTTACTTAACGATTAGGTCTTATTTGACTACTTGACTCAATGCCCAAGTACGTCGAAGGTGTCACAGTCCACTTAGCGATCACTAATGAGACTCGGTCGCCAATATCGCCTAGACCCCTGGCTTTGTTTGAACGCTAATTCAACATCGCTAAAAGGTATTTCTTCCATCACGGTGATAACGTTACGATATGAGTCACACTTTAAGTTACCTGCTTTACTTCTTAGCTGTCGAGTTTACAGGTGTCCGGCCTCGGGAGTTACAGGTGTCGGGAGTGGAAGACTAACACGAGCAGGATGAAAAAACAGGTTACTTAATGCGTGGCTAGGTGTTAACTTAATTGAATCGAGCTCACCTAATCGCAGTGATCTTCTTCCTGTGTGTGATTTGTACGTAACATACATTAATTCAATCAAGTTTAGCTGTTCCCGGAACCATAAAGCCAAGCTAAATTCACAGAGCATTTGGTTAGGTATTTTGTATTAAGGAAATGTACATTCAACATACGCTTTCAGCTTTGCTCCGGGTCGGTAAAATTCTACCTGTTAGTTCATCCATAGTGCAATTGTCTGCTATATGGCACAAGAAACGTGATGATTCTACAGTACTTGGTTAAAGTCACCACCTGCTACAAGGATATGGGTGCTAAAAAAACCATAGCGAACGTGTTATTTATACGTAGGGCTTCGAACATTTTTTTTTTTTTCGTTTTTATTGAAAATGCGCTTTCCGTATGCTTTGGCCGTAGTTTCGTAAAGGAACGCAAAGCAAGCGTTTTTTCATACAAGTAACCATCTTTCCAGAGGCATTCACTGGGCTTCAGTAAGCTTCAAGTATGAATACACTCGGGGGGTTGGATGTGCCCCACAGAGCGTTAAGCCTTAGGCCTCAAAATGTCAGCTATACTTTTTTATTTGTTAGTCTGATAGCGGAGGATCGTCAGAGAGGAAAACATATTGCATTGACTCTAAAAAACAGCTGGGAAAAAACCGCACTTTACATGCTTATTATGATCGGCGCCTTGTCTTCTAAGAAGCACATGTTGCAGGGGGCGCATTTGCAACCATCAACTTGATTTGTACTTATTCAAATATAGCATTTTGTGTTGGCCATTTACGAAATAAAAACCCCTTTCTTTCATAGCTTTATCATGAGACGACCGATGATATTTGCCGCGTATTTTGTCTTCTGTTTTTAGTTAATTCTACGTGTTATTTTTGCGTTGCCTCCCCCATCTTATCGCTTCACGTATGTGACGTTTCTATGCACTTTAGAAGTTGACAAGGTCAATGTCGCGATCCGTTCATCTACAGCTTGTTCATAACTGTAATTATTACCAACTTGGATCGACGGATCTGCCTCCATCAGATTTACGTAGCTGTAAAAAATTTCATAATTACGACATCTGTGTTTTTTTTACTATGATGCCTTTGAATGTTGCAGCTCACTGATGAGCAGCAATCTCGTTGATTCGTTTGTTCTTTGTCGAACTTTACAAAGGCGTTGGTATGGTGTTCAGTCGTTAACGCTAGGAAAAGCCTAAAAACACTTTTCAAAATGAGGACCTGAATAAAAACTTCTACGCTCAGTCGTCATCTCGGCCAAAGTAACTCGTTACGCTTTAGAATAAAAAGCTATTGTTCAATTGTCTGCTGTGTTATTGAAAGGAGGGAGCCAGAAGTGCGTGCGATGCTTACTAGAAAATTAGCTTTGAGGCTTGTAAATATCGGAGGTCGGCAATTACTACGAGTCATTTTAAGCAAGTAGTTAGATTTTATCAGTGTCTTTTCAACGATCTTTTCTACTGTAACCTCGTTTACAAGTCAGCTAACCTAATTCATTCTAATACACATGCTAGTTGCTAGGTCGAGGCCTGCAAATAATTCTGGCAGCCTGGACTCTTGTGATTTTTCATCACATACTCGATATTATCTAAAACTTCGCTTGTTTATGTGTTGGAGTATGTATAAAAATTGTTACTCTGCAAAATAGCAAGCTTATCGACCTTAATCGGCTTATCGACCTGGCTTAGCGAGAATAGCTTTTCATTTGGTAGCTTTATTAGGGTGCAATCCACAAGCTTAAATGTCGTTAGTACCATAGACAAAGCACAATCATGGATGCCCATGATATTAAAGATTCAATACGAAATGGTCCCAAGAAGTCTACAACGATTTCAGTATGTCCTATATGGGGCCTGTAATGACTCGGTGAAACGAAAGGCAGAGTTTACTACACTGCACACACAACCATTAGTACTTTTGTTGTTATTATAAATATAATAACGTAAGTTGTTGAATGCGTAGCAGTTATTACAAAAAAAAAAACGGGGCCGTAAAGCACAATCTATTGATGCTGTACAATGTAATTGTTAAGCATATTCAGTTTATTTCTTTTCTTACTATTTAACGATATCAGTTAGATGACGAGCAAAGATGTCTCTTTTTTATTGGGGCTTGCAGTTATATCGCGGTCATCAATAGATCCGAGTATATACAGTGAGTTCAAATATGGCGGCCCTTGGCGCTTCGTTTCGTAGACTCATTGTTCTATTGAACTTTATCGTGATTTAGAAAAACGTTACAAGTAGTTTCCTAGCAACCTACTGCACTAAAATAAGCTGTGACCTTGTCAAGACATCGATTTGTCGATGGACAAAAACTGCGCAGCCAGCACATGGCTGTTGTATTAGAAGATCGTTAGTAGGCGGTTCCCTTGATCTTTGGATAAAGGTCAGCGAAACTATCGTTACTCGGAAGAAGATCTTTAGAGCTTGATCGTGTACCTTCTACATTTGCTCTCCATTTGCTAAAGAGATCACTCAGTAGTTAGAAATAAATATGAAAAGTCGAGTTTTGCTCAGATGATTTGTGAGGAATATTTGACGATTTTGCGAATTCTCATCTAGGTGTTAATCTTCTGTGACGAGATTAGGGCAAACATTATCTAGGTGAGGCTCTGTTCAACTTTCATTGTTTCTACTAATTGCTTCTGCAGTATAAGACGCTTTTTCCTCGAGTGATTACTGCTGATCTTTTGACGACGAAAATCGTGTCGGTCAACGACAAAATCGTTGAGCGGATTGGCTTGAGCTGTAGGCTTTTCTTCCCAACGCCAAGAGAAGACCAAAAGCGCGTAGCCTGAACTCTTCGTTGCTTGCGATTGTATGAACGCATACTAGATCAATCTGATAAGGTCTGCACAGTTACCTACTTGTGAAGCCTTTCCAAGTTTCGCAGACGAACTTCTCTCCTGACATTGGATTAAATGCGATATCTCTTTGACGTTTTTTTCTTTTTATTGATATCACCATTACGGGATTGTTGAGCCTTTACTCACGCGCCAATGAACCTAAAGTAGGACGCCAACACGATTGATTAAGATGATAGTAAAACCGACAACGTATGGCCGTAATTGATGATGTCTACTATGCCGACTAATACCATTATAATCATTTAATTGTTTATGTAATAACATTGTTTACTTTTTATAAAAAAAAATTATATATTATTTTTCCATTAATTAAATCTATGCTTCCGTCAGTTCTACTCTAGCAAATGTCTACTCAGTCGTGATATATTATAGCGTAACTAAAGATGTAATTTCGTTTAGTAAAACATAAATTGTTAATTGCTTAAATAAGTATTTTTGTGTATTTTGTCTCGTTCTGTATAAAATGCTAAAATTTAATAGTTTACCCGCTCAGACCTGCAGTTCGCCAAGCGGATAACGCTTGAACAACCCCTGACAGCGATAACATGAAGCCATTGTTTGATCGGATGATGCGAGTTCATCTCATATGAAGGAGCGAAGTCTACTGAAGTATAAACTAATCGTCTCTAGTTAGAAGCCGAAACTTTAACTTTGTCCTACCAGTCTTCAGAAATATATGTTAGCCTCGATACAAGTCAACTTTTAAGATACGAATGTGATTATGCAAGACAAACGAAGGACCAAGAGCGATGCGGCTAATTAGATCCTGGGCATTTACACATTAAGGCCACATATATGAATACTAGAAAAACCGGCAAATTTCGAAACGTGTGGAAACGGGCCAGTATCTGCAGGAATCGCATTTTAACAGAGATTATTAACGGCAAATATCTGAAACACAATTTTAGATTATCTAAGACACTGTATAGAGCAAATTTTCTCATTATGCTATTGTCAGTAGTGAAACTTCAACTAACTGACCTCTGTCGTATGTTCCAACTATGAAATCGAGCAGTCGGTGTGATAAGCTACCCCAACATTTTGTCGCACCGCACTATGCACGATTGTTTTCCATAGCCAGTTGAAAAGTATTGAATAGATAGCTAATTGAAGGATGTGGCAACATGCTAGGGAGGTTCGTTACCTTCCTAGCAAAATGAACCTTGCTTTTCCAGCCTGCCGAAAAATAGGCATGCCTAAAATTTGACCTAATCCGCTTGTTTCAAGAGTTCATGCTCTTTTACCCTTTGCGCAACAGTGATACCCCTGGAGGGGAAGGCTTCTTTAGCGGAATTGTTCGATGACGATTAATGAGCGCATCCTGTATGTGCTTGTGCAGGGTATCGCAGCCATTGCGCTTTTCGTGCACTCCTCTTTCTATCGTACTGTTCTCAAATGTTGGCCATAACCATCTAATTCCAAGTACAACGGCCCTATCATTCGAGGGATGCCCGTGACCACGAAGCTCCGGCTATTGCCGGCCTTAACTCCTTCCGACTTAGGTAGCCTTCCATATACGCTGTGTACGTGTTTATGTATGTGTGTTTAACGTAGCATGTGTTTGGGTCGATGATACATCACAAAATATCAGCGCCCGTTCATTACAGCCGCGATTCGTCGATCAATCAAGACACATTAGTGATCAACGAGTCTAGTCGCTTACTCACCGCTTCCTAACTATTCCCCTTGTACGTGGTCGTAGCCCCGTCCTTCTTCGAAGGTTCATTCAGATTACGAAGCCTAAATCCAGGTAAACTACTACATAAAGGGCCTTGCTTTTCTCGTGCTACAATTCGGCCACTGACTGGAGAGTAACAATGCTTTGGAGTACGAGGCTAGAAGATTTTTCTGTTTTGTTGTTATTAGAATTCTTGGCGAATTTCCAGGGAATTTAGCTTTCAGCTTTTCACTTGGTTATTCGATCATCTGGAAACCCTTCTTGCTCCCCCGTGTTGTTTGATTTCTGTAGCGAGTAAGCATAACGAAATCGTTGGGGGTAGCGTTCGTCTTGTGGGGTGTTGCACGAGAAAAGGCCGACTGGTTTTGGCCACCACTCAGAAACGTCTCGAAGTTTCGTTACAAGTATATCTTGAAACCAATGTTTTTCGCTTTCTAAAAGTTTTCACGGCTCATTGTAAAATTAAATTCGTCACGCTGCCTGAGCTAGTCGCTTGATACCGCCGAGGTTGAGGAGAACGCTTCGGAAGGTCTCACCGGATCGTAGGCCTCATCAAACACTGCTCTGCGTTAGCGGATCCATACAGCAAGCGAATATTACCTGAAAATTATAGAATTTGTCCAGTATTTCTGCCGTCAAGCTATCGTTCTCTCTGATGCGCCATCTCGCTAATTGTCTGTTTATATCTGCATTTTAAGAACTGTTAGCGAGCGATCCGCACAGATCTTCTCGGAACTGGTGTCCCGTAGACCATTCCCAAGAGACGCGTTGCGAGCACACATAATACGGGACCGTTCACGTTGGGAATGCATGGCACGTTTAGAAAGAGCCATATCGCACGAACAGGTCTCTGGGCGATTTAATGGTGTTTCTTTATTACTGTTGTTTATTTTTTCATTCTTACACTATGTAGTAATTGTCAGATCTTATCGTTGGCGAAAGATCACACAAGATGCGTTATGTTGAGTCGGACAGACGCAGGATGGCTAAAGAGGCTAAAGGAAAGGAGATAGGCCTATGTAAGTAGTGTACCTCCTCCGCGTGATCCTTCATTTCTAACAGAGCAGCTCATCCACTAAGATGGCATTATTAAGGTCCATTTACTTATCATTGTAATTCACTTATTTGTCTGATCTTATTGGGCCGACTTAACACTTTCGCAAAGTGCTGACGTATCTGGAAGACCCTTCGTGACAGTTTGTTGTACGAAAAATCTGTGTCCTCCACGTTTTCTGGCGTCCCAGGGGTCTCCAAATGACCCATATTCAAAAGATGCCTAACAGTTTCCGACTAGACAAAGATAGTAATTAATTATGATGCTTGCTGATTAAACAGCAGCTGGAAACGGAAGTTAATGATTGTGTCGAGATTTAGGATACGTAATAACGCCACACACACGTGACAAACGCAATGTTGCTCCATTAAGAAGATTAAACGCCGACTGAGTATCAGGGGAAAGCCTCACACTTCACACTGAATAGTTTCTCCTCGAAATATTTTTGAAGTGTAATCAGCTTTCTCAAAATCAGTTCAGAAATCTCAAAATTATTCATTAGACTTTATGACCTTGGTCAATTTCTTTAAGAAATGGGTCGGCGTCAAAGTGGCCAACCTGTCCTGAAGTTGGTCGTATTCATAGAACTGCAGCTGCAACTGGTGAAGCAAAAACCTTTGACGGTACTCTGGTAAGTTGACGTTACAATACTTGAACGTTCGTTGTATTCTAGTACCTTAATAGGCCAAGCTATATGCCAACATGTACTTGCTACGTTTAGTTTGAACTGCGCCTGCCTGTCAGCGTATGTGAAAGTAATCGATAAATTTTTAAGGAATATTTCTGAATATTGTAGTCTAAAACCAATTGTGTACTCTCATTAACAATATTCCTACATGATTCTGGTGCTAAATTTTCTTGAGTCTTTCAGTGCCGAAGTAGACCTTCTTCGGGGTGTCAACCATATGTTTATGAATTATAGACCGTATATATATTGTATACAAATTTGATGCTACCAGAGCTTCAATGAGTGAATCAAGTTCAAATCTTCAGCCTTGCTAACAGCACCACTATGAAGATTTCGAATATGTTGGAAGACAAAATATTGACTCGTTACATTTATTCAAACGGCTGAATAGCAGGGCGTCGGTTCGAATCCCGCCCTGGAACATTTGCTGTCTGCAAGCTTTCGATATTTTGATGTGGTACGTAAAGTATATTTAGGAAAGGTAGTGTGCTGTTGAGTCGGTTTGAAAAACGTAGTTTTTCTTTAATATCGTACACAGACCTTCCGACATGTAGAAACGAACGCTTGCGTTTACGACCCATGACAACAAGCAATTCCTATGGAATGAATTGTACAATTCAGAGTGGATTTGCTCACCTGACTAAGGGCTACCAGAAAAAGCAAGAGAGCTGGATTTTTCATACACAACGCTTTGATCATCTGTAATAGTAAGATGTTGACATTTGGGTAAATACCAAAGCGACCGTTGTGGGTCCTCGTTACCCATGTCTCATGCTATTCAGTCGAAGCTGCCCATTTGCTTAAAGAAATTTCACTACTATGGGGCACTAGTTCGATTTGAGCCAATTCCCAGTGCAATCGTAAAAGAAAAATTAAAGTTGAAAAAAAAAGACTTGATTTTACTTAATCAAACCGTCGTTACAATATACGGCAAACTGTTCTAAATAATTTCTAATTGTTTTTACGTTTAGAGACAAATTTATATTAGGCTCGAGAGCCACATACCTGCCAATTCTAGTTCGTTCCGGCTTCACAATTCCGCGCGTTTACATTTACAGACATTTAATAATTTCTCATAACTTTTATTATTCTTTGAACCTATCGAAGGTATTAGGAGTGATATACTTGTGTTGTCATAGGTGCATTTTGAATACGAGTGCCGTCGCTTCTTTTTGTGCTAACTAGATAGCCTGCAGCGTTTAGTTATAAATAGTCAGAATTGATTGTATCTTTCGCATAGTCTCATTGCTAGGTCTCATATCGATGGATCTAATATTGCCTGGAGACGACAATAGCCCAGCTCATGTACAGAGGCCTGGCCAATTAAATGTTGATGAGACGAGACCCAGAAAGCACACCAGCAAAAGAGCTGAGAGACAAGTGAACTAAGGCGAGTGGTTCCCTGAACTGTCAAAACTGCCGACCGGGAGAGATAGTGACAGCAAGCAAGAAAGGTCTGCCCGATCCTATCCTAATGTTCTAGGTGGGGGCGTAGTTTTCGCAGCGATCCAGCGGTCCGGCATCAGGATCGACAGCTCTACCGAGCTCTCTGCAAGAAGCGGGTGTGTGTAACGGAGGCAGTTGCAGGGCGGACGAGGTAACTACCTTGTCGAGGTCGACAGGATCAAAGGGGGTCGTAGTAGTGCGTACTGCATGGGTAGCAGTGAACCCCACCATCGAACAGCGAATGACTGAATGGCCAAGGAATGCGTACTATACGGTGTGCTATCCGGAATTCGTACAACAAGCTATTCGCACGAAGGGACTATCTGAAAGCTAGCTACTTCATTTAGCCAACCCGACTAACACTGGGCGCACTCTTACGCCGCCCAACAGAACTGTAAAGACAGGTAAACAAGTGGGCGGATTTGTCTGACTACGCATTACCTTTGCTAGTGCAAAGGTCTAATGAAGACGGAGATAGATAATTAGAAATGCTAGTAAGCAATTTGGCTGACTTAATGATAAGTAAACGCGGTTGAAGCGCAGCTTACAGAGAAGAAACACTGATAAAGTAAGAAAGGGTAACCTTTAAGATGATTTAACCTGGACTTCACTGAACTACTTCGCTTAGCGACATCCTCGTACGTTTTTGCGTACAGAACGATTTGAACTGACTGTGATACATACCTTAAGGGCATTTCTCTGTGTCCTTCTACCCTCTATTAACGTCGTTGCGTCGTCTACAGCGGCAGTTGTTGCAGCTCCACAGAACCAACAGAAAGTACATTTGTGTAAACCAATTGAAAAAGGGCCACACTTATCAATGGATGCGCGGTCAATCAGTAGGCCATCTTTGATACAAATGGTTCCTATCAGCCTGGCTAAAGTTTGCATCAAAGATGGTATCGTGATTTGTTTTTTGTAACTTCATGTGGTGTAACAGTTCTCTGACGGAACATACGCTTAAGATGGGAGCAACATGGTCTTATCATCGCTCACACCGGACTCCCTTAGACTTCACGATCATCAGCTAGTCATCGGTCCAAGGTGGTATTTGTCACTTCATCTGTTTGCCTATTGAGCGAACGGGCAGGCAGTCATAAATTAGCCGATTAGGCATAGGTTAAGCGAGGAGCTCCGCTACTCGCTCAATTTCCTTCTGCTTATCTAAAGCATTTGTGCGTTTTGATTGAGGTCCGCTGGATTTGCCTGTTCCAGGCAATCACAACGTCGCCCCCGCTATCACAGCCAAAAATCTCTCCATTTTAACGAAGATCCCATCATCAACCGAAGACCTTCGAAACATTTGTACGAATTGACCATGTATTGGACGAAGCTAACCACAAACACAAAACCACTAGGTAGATAACAGCGCAAAATGCTATGGACGAAAATGTAAGATCGTCTAAACTTTGTACTGCGGAAGAGGAACAACTGGCCGTGAACAGAAACTAAATGCAACATATTATCGGCTGTCGTTATATATATGTAGATATATAAATAAATATCATACTATATATATATATATATATATATATAGAGGATGACATTTATTTATACAATAGCCCTTTAAACGATACCGAATCAAATTGAATTTCCAGATTCTACGTTCTCGCTGGGAATAAATTCGTGTTTGATAAAACCGCAATAGCAGACGGTTAACTCTATCGAAGATGTATGAAAAGCGAAAGTTATATTTCCGTTAATTTTTCTTCTTATGTTTATATATGCTATATAACAATAAAGTATCTTATATTTTGAGTTAAAATTCTGTTTTTAGAGAAAAGCGTTGGTCGCTGGCTGGCTTTTTCAAATGATACAACCCAATAGGTCATTTCTGTTCGTTGTTCAATATTTGTGATTCCGCTAATTAAATTTATACCACCATCTGTCGGCTGATATCGCACTCTAGCCTATTATGTCCAGCGACTTTGGCTTAATCACTGACTGCCTACTGATTCGCCCCTGTATTTAACCACCGTGTTTCAGCGTACCTGCAGTTTCAGTACTTCATTGCTAATTAACTTCAGATGCGATGATGAACCCACCCAATAGTAAGCCACTGTTTTTTAGCACTCCCTGTCTCGAACACACACACAGTAACTCTCTTTCTATGACTGATTGCTATTGGCTACTGCAGTTTCGTCTTTATGATCATCCGGAGGGTCAATCTACCTTTAGTTTGGCCTACTGATCTTATCGACAGCGCTAATCTGCGAAGCATCATTATCTTTACACGTCCGCAACTCGTCCGCCCAACCGCTTCTTTGGCCTAATCTCGATGATGATCATCGCTCGTGTTGATCCATCCATCCATCCATCCATTGAGTAACTGTTTGGTTTTTACCTACCCCATAACTATTGCAGGCCCATCATCACCATTCGTGATTCGTCTGTCCGTCTGCATTTCCTTCGCGAGCGACAGTGGCCAATGAAACGTTTGGGTCGTCATCGTATCGCTCTGAATGAGCTTATCTTATCCTATGAGAGCACGCATGCGGGTCTGTACGTTGTTATTGTTACTCTCGCTGCGAGTAAATTCGGTCGATGTTTTTATGAACTGTCAGATGATCGTAACCAAGGAGAAAACCGCACAGGATCTTAAGGCCTGGTAAGTAAAGAGGCAGACAGGATTTTCGACGTCTTACTAGTTATTAAGTAGCTAGTCAATTAGAGGAGCTGGTAAGAGCCAGGTTATGACGCTGCTGCTAGCGTAGGTCTCTCATCCAACGACGCCGATTACGAGCAGATAAAGGGATTACCGCCCTGTTCACGCTAATAAAATCGTTGGCGTCTATGTCAGTTGGACTGGAGCCGGCGAGGTCGGCTAAGCAAGAAAAATACGGCATATAAATAAACTGGTAATGTGATGTAGTAAACACTATTATACGTAGGATGGAAGGCAAAGATAGTAGGTCGCGTACTACAGGAACGACATTCACGGACCTCTCGTAAGTAAGTGTCGCTATCTGAAGTATTATATAATGCATGGGGGCAGCATGGTCCGAGAGCGCATCCCTTCGAGTGCAGTGCCATTCTAGTGATGAACATTCGGCCATCGTTGATTTAACTTTAAGCGGTGGCAAAATGTTATAATCGACATGATTAGTTCCAGATCAGATCTGTTCAGTAAGACCCTGCCCGGCTAGGTCTTTTAATGGGGGCAGGTCCTTAATGCTATACCAAGGAGGAGACTCTGTGAAAATTCGTTCATAGAGTGTCAATTAAAAAGTTGATATATATATATATATATAGCTTTTTTTGCTTTCATGTATATATATATATATATATATATATATATACGTCGATTACATTCAATTGTTCGGGAGCATCTTTGCCCTCATATAGCACACATGTAATATATCACACCTTTAAGACATGATATTAAAAATTCGAAGCAGGTCGAATACAGTATTAACAAATGGATTTAAAGAAATGTAGAATCAATTAAATAGTTAACTAAGTAATTTTATCGTTTTTAGACTACCACTGTGACCCGAGTGCGCGGCTTGCTTCACGCCTTCGACTTCAGGACCTACGAAGCTATAGAAGGTCATTTACGTAATGGAATGAAATATAAATGCTGCAGTGGGCCATTGACAATGTCGCCATTTGCCAACGACGCTGTTGCCCCGTTTGATCGTTCTAACATGGATCGGATGTGTGGCTAATCAAATATCTGAAAAATCGACAGATCACGCGGACGACATGGGAAGTCAAGTGGCCTCAACATCCGCCTACGTTTTTTTATGCGCCATTTACTTGGGTCCAGTAGAAATTCCGGCTGAGCCGACATTGGCCGGCGTATTAGTTCGTATTTGACCATTCATACGAGTCACTGGGTCCGGCCGTCGATTTCAGACTAGCTACGACAATAACGCCAGCTTAAATCATCTCAATATCGATAACAAAAGCACAGAAAGGCGAAACAATTTAGATATCGCCGACTGGCGGTGCAACGACGTCGTATAAGTCATTGTTTCCCGTGTTGTGATCGTTTTCACGAAACTACTGTTAAGGAATCATTCACGTAAGAGCACACTGAACAAACGAGTAAGCAAGCATCGGTTCTCGCCTGGATGCGTGAGGCTGACTTCAGCCAGTATTCGCTGAATAGGGCCACTCGATTTCTTTATAGTTGTTTCCCATTTGTCAGCATATCGACGCTACATATGTACGCATACCCAAAAAAGCATACAGAAAATAGACTTGAAAAAACCTCACCAGCTCCTCACTAGCAGAGGGCTATATTGTTGATTCGGACAAGCCAGCGGCCTGAGTAAACCTAAGTGGGACCTGTATATCGACAGCATGCGTCAGGCATAACATACACAGGCGGGCACTTATGCCACGCACTTACGCATGCACTGAACAAAGCTGAAAACAATACGCCACTTTAGGCCAGAAAACTCTAGGGAGAAAAAGCGTTTAGGGTTGAAAACACCAGATAACAACGTGGCGCTCCTAACAACGAACCAATGACCGAACGAGCAAAAGGGTCAATAAGTCGAAGCCCGCTGTGATTGAAATTGAATTGTCTAAGTGGAGCTCTCGCGTTGCCTCTTCTGCCGAGAAATTCACCAGTATCCCAACGCTAAACAGAACTATGCCTGTCTAACCTACCAGCTGGCAGGTTGACCTAATTGCAAATGTATGTTGATGCGAGGAATATACATACTGAACGTCGTCCTCCATAGGCTAATTACCAAGGCTCTGCCCCTCTCGAATTGAGCGCCAGTGCATGGGCATCGATCATGCATAAGTGGTTTAGGCCACTAAGTCGTTATTCATAGAGAACTCCTCTAAAACCCTACCTGCGTCTAATACATTGCATAGTAACCGCTCTGATAGAGACACGCACAAGTTCCGCGCACGTTATTCAACTTCTTACAATATAGCTATATCTTGAATGAATTTCTCCGCTAAACGATGCGACATAGGGACTAGGGGTTTTCTCTTCATTTAGTCTAAAACGAATAGAAAAAATAGCATTGAAAACGTACGTAATGGATTGTCGATGAAAAGTGCGATTTCAGTGTATTATTTGCGTCGTGTTTGGCCAAAGCTAGTTATTTTTAGGCAGCCTTCTTTTCGCTATGAAGTTGAGACTACTTACATCAAGGAGTCAATAAGACACCGACAAAAACGACGCTGTCAAAGTGGAAATCTATTTCACTGGGCACGACAGGTGGCAACAGGCTGAGGAAACTATAAGTTGTTAACCGTGCCCTCAATGAACGTTGGTGGCAATGCAACGTGACCTCATTAAGATACTGCAATCACTAAAGCATCGACATGTAGAAGCTGCCCCTCTTAGATACATAAAGTACGTTGCAATACTCGCTATTCGATTGCTTCCGGGTAATGGATAGTTGCCACTTCCACTTCCTTCTTCGGTATGGATCATTAAAATCGTAGTGGATCTCTCCGATGGGATGAGCGAGCGGCTGAAGTACGCAAGACGAGTCTAAGTTGAATGGCTGATCTGTTTACTCGAATGTTTCATCGTATTCTAAAGTTCTGCGCATCTCCTATATTTTTTTTTCCGCTTAAGAAATTTGACATATTCTGGCAATACGAAGCATGCTAATTGAGCCGCTGAAACTCTCTGGAACCGTTTTGCAAGACGGATTTCATTCAAATGAAATTTTCTTTTGCAACGAGAGCGTGCGGAACGTATGCACTTCATTAGGAAACCCTTATGCTGCCTTACTTCGTCTCCTCGGAAGTGAACAAGTGGAGTCGATCGCTTTGAATCTTCCGAAGACACTGCTCCGAATACCCGGAGAGCAGGACCGACTCTGGCCTTCAAAGGATCTTTTGCAGGGTAGACTCGTTTAAGCCGGGCTCATGTAAGTGGGTTGAAGCACGGTTTGAATAGATAGTAGCTAGACAAACAGATAAGTCCATATGAATAAATGTATCGGTTTGCATCGTGTACCTAACGGCTTTCGACGAACATTAATAGGTCCAATCGGCAATCCTAGTTAGCCGATCGACTACTATACTGTATGTGGTACGGTGACTATAAAGCCATCGTCCTATATGACATGACGGCTTCGTCTATACTTCGTCAGCGGTAGCCACGATACGAATCTTGGAGAAACCACGACTGTGGTCACGCCTGCGCCAAGCATCTTTGCAACAAAGACAATAACCCAACATGGATTCAATTGAAATATGTTCACACTTATTAAGGAACTCTCAGTGGCGACGCAGGCCGTGAACGAGATGTGACTTGTGTGATGCTATCGGACCGAGTTTCGATCGATTTTAGTTCGATTGATATTGTAAATTGATTGCCTCCCCTGCCCTTCCGGCCACCCCAGTACGCATGTATCGTCCGTCACTGCAACATGCCTTTCGAGATAACACAGAGACACCCGTTCATGATCGCAAGAAAAGATGGCTTCCCGCCCGCTGCGGAGAGGTTTGCAGAACACATACGAGACAGAATAACATAAAAATAGCGAAGCTATCGAACTAGAGTAGAAGTTGGCGGTAACTTCAGCCACTTCAAAATGACAACAAGGTGTGAGCCGAAATTTTGGCGGAATGATCAAATTGGACAAGACAAAATTGAGTAAGCCACTGAGAGTGTATTTGTATGGACCGTCGTAGATTTCGCCAAAAGCTGATCCAACTCGCGAGAGAAACAAAGTAAGTTATCTACACTGCATGTATTGTGTTCTTTGGCAATGAAAACTTAAGTTATTAACTTTTACACATATATGTTGTATAGTGTCAGATCCTGTTGGTTTGCCTACAAAATTCAGGAACACGTGAGCTGGTCGAAATTCGAAAGCGGGCCTATTTATCGGAGACACCAGCCGTCCAAGGCTTAACGGGAATAGCGGACTTAAAGGCTTTATCTACCTATTAACTAGTGTACTTCTGACTTAGTACTGCGAAACAGGCAGTTGGCTGGGTAAGATACTAGAGTCAGATTGAGCATGTTCTACTTCCCAAATACATTCAAAATTGCCTCTCGGAATTACGGTGCTATTCAAACTTGCATATAGTTTGTCATAGTATTCATATTGCTCAACGCAGTTATAATGTCAGCCAGTGACAGATATATTGAACTACTATAGTACGGTCAAATGTCTCTTTTGATTGTCGTTGCCGTAAATATGGCCAACTATCCCCAGATAAGTCGAGCAAGACCCACGCCGGTCAGGCTTTTAATGAGTCTAGGATACTGATGCTTAGAGGTGATTCGAAAGACTTGTCTACATAATAAAGGGGATAGCTAGTGGTGCTAATAATAAAATTGATGAAGTAAAAAAAATATATTTTATGTAAGTCGTTCAGGGCATGACGGTGGAAAATGTCAAAAGTGGCTTTACAATTTTCGAAAATATACTTCTACAGGTTGAAGTCAGGTGAAGAGGAGGCAGCCTAAATCGACACTTCAACACAGGATGATATTAATCGGGTGCTAATTGTATCTAACAAACGTATCTGTAAGCTATTGAAGACCCGGCTTTTTTTTTCAAAACAAGCGACAACCGTTCCCCTGAACCCTCGGCGTTAATAAATGCAAAAATGGAGAAACCTTTATAGATTCCCATTTATAGATTCCCATTTCGTAAAGAGAAACTTTTTAGTCTTTGTGGGACTCATCATGGGCGTACGGGATACGAAACGTTCTACAAATTGGTCATTCTGATTCCAAGACTAACGTGACCCTATACCCTACTATCAACGTTGAAACAAAATCTCAACCTAAAGAGCAACATGTTACTATGTTCGTCGCATTCGATGAGCTGAGACCTCGTACAGGAGAACCATCGACCTCAGCTTAGCTTACCAAGGAACCTCAGACGAAATATGAGCCAGTTATCACCATGTCTGCCATGGTCAATAACTAACGTTGGAATAGTAAGGAGAAACGCAGTCTAATATTATCCTTTTTTTCCCCCTATCCCAATGTACAAATTAGAAGTTCAACGAAAAAGTCAAGCCGGTGTATCAGTATACCTTCCCGCTGCCAATTTAGCTTGAGCTGCAAGCTTGTAATGATGAGATCAGGGCTTATATCGAGTATAAACGAAGCTTTTATAAATAAGCCGAAACTTAAACGTATGATTGTCTATATGTAACCGCTGCCCCTAGAGTGGTCTGTTACTGATCGACACGAAGCTTATCTGCAAAGGGCTTGCTTTTCTCCAATGATTCCCACATGTGCGTCCACGAACCGTATTTACAAAACGAGCATCATACAAATTAGAATAATGTATTTATATATCAAAAGTGTCTATTTTTCAAATCGAAGGCATTAAATACAAACATTTGTTACCGTCATAATTTACCTATTATTTTAGAAATTTATTTAAGAAATAATATATATCTGTAAAACGATCAAGTAAATCTATTCTGATCAAAGACCTATAGCTTTCAACTATTGAAGCCCGTTAGTTCCGGAACGCGCAACTACATGCATAAACAGTGTCCCAGTCACTTCGAGTAATTACTATCATCCATATATATATCAGAGTCGTTCATTTGCAGCCTCAGAATATCCCGGGAACTTTTAAGTACCTCTTTTTCAAAGCATACCTCAATTTCTAACTATCAGCTATATTGCTCTTTTACATTATTTATCGTTAGCCAAGCACGCACGTTGAATCGTTTAAGGCTCATAGCTCAAAGTTCAAGTTTCAAATAATCTGCCGTATTGTGAGAGTATTCAATAAAGTTACAAAAGCAATTGCTGCGATTTAATATGTACTGCTTGCGTCTACAGGGCTGATTTACCCTGTCTCTAAACACTCCTTCAGACTAAAAACCCGGCATCCTCAATCGTGCCCCAGCCAACTGGGGACCACCACACGCAACGCATCGGTCACGATGAGCTCGCTCGACTCTCTAGCGTCGACTTCAGTCGACCCAAATTAAGATGAGATAAAGCAAACGTCTTGGTCCGTCATTGTTCAGCGACATCTGGTTGTAGCAGCGCTCCGTGAGTATACAATCAAACTTGCGAATCAGTCTGCATTCTCACTTTGGGGACAACTAAAATGAGACTATTTCGTGAATGCGAATTTGATCCATCGTAAGCCGAAGACGCTTTGAAAAAATACATTAAAGCCGGTTGTTCACAGTGGGAGAACCTCAACTCTGAGGTGCACCCTTCGCCTATCGATTGTTGTTTTCGTCACGTTCATATAGCGCCTCGTTGTTCTTACGCTAAAAGACAGCTAGCCGATGTATGCTGCAAAGCAGTAGGATACGGGTGGTCTCCGCAAAGACCCCGGCCTTTCGTAGCCCATCGCCAACCTTAGATAGTCGCAAGCTGTAATGTAGCCTTGATATACGTAGAGCAACAGAAGCGCCTTGGCTAGAAGTGAAATCGGGACGCATGACGCTGCCATCCCCCTCAGCTACCGAGCCCAGCCCTCTACACGCTGCTCTATGGCGGTGGGAGGCAGTACGACTTGACTGATCTCCGGGAAAGGCATTAGCACGACCTAGCTATGGCGACGATCCAGTCAGTATTGCTTCTTTAGCCACAATACCCCCCTTCAGGTACAGATCAAAGGTGCTCCTCGGTCAGCGGAAATGACCTGAAGAAAATATGCTACCACAAACAGTCAGCAGCATCCATGTGCTTCTACTGCTTGTCTCCGATCTTTTTTCACCCAGCTGCGCTCGTAATTGACACCCTACAGGGAACCCCAGAGCAGCCCCTTCCACACTTTGCCCCGAGGTTTGTCGTCTCCTGCTCTTTCGCAAGTCAACCTGCGTTTGTTCGTACAAACGTAGGAGTAAAAAAACAAGGTGACTGGGCTTCATTAACTGCACCAGAATCGGTGGCTATATAGAGAGCAGGCCAATTTCTATCTGCAGGGTGGTTTTTCCTTGAGCAGCTGTCCTGCGTTTCGATTGCCCCTACGCCGCGCCACAAATGTACACACATACATATACGACCATATAACTAAGACCTGCTTTGTCCCTAACAAGCTCCAACAAGAGCAGGCCTATTTTAGCATTAGCTCTCCTAATTTAGACGCGCCTGATTCTTTTTGTTCAGGCTTCTCTCTCTGTTGCATTTCGTTTTGGTAATTGCTTCGTATGGTGGTGTAGAGCCGGTCGGCAGCCCGGATGAACCGACACCCTAGTGGCGTATAGTTAATATTCCTTTTTTCGGGTTTGTGTAACCTCTTCAAAGCTATCATGTAACGAAAATGGCTGGTACAGAACCCCGCTGGACGACGTAATAAGCACTACTACTGACGTGCGCGATAGTGGCTGCAATAGCGTGCATAAGCTGTTCTTATCCACCGAGCACACTGATGTCATTAATGGCTGGCAGGAACGTGTGACAAGCGTAGATTTAGAGAAAAGCCATCGCTATGGGAGGAAGGCGCCGCTTCCTGAAATTAGGTAGAGATCATTAGGGTGGATGCTAGACCAGATTAAAGTGTTACAGAACTAACTGACTGAATATGAAGATATAATAAGGGAATATATTATGTGCTCGTTCTTCTCCTCCGTCTATGTTGAAGTGCCAGCACCAGGAACCCAGGCGTCTGCAGAGCTATGACTTGTGGAACACAATACATCGCATCCATTTTCGATCTGGAAGGAACCAAGTATTCAGAATGATTCCAAACGCCATTCGAATATAACTAGGCCTTTTGTTAGAAATTTATTTATTTAATAGATTATTACTAGATTTTATTTTTCAAAGAGCACATTTTTTCGTGATCTGTTTAGCTTTACAGGGTGGCTAGTTCTATATAGAGTACTTCTGCTGAAACTGAGGTTATATTTATGCTAGATTTTCAGTTACAATTGAAACGTACTCATTCACGTATTTACAGTAATAATATATGCTGCGTATTCCGAGTCGTGCTCGCCTATCTGTATTGGACCATCACAGCGGTACTGCATCTATTCAGCTGAGGCCTGTAGTGATTATATTTGAATTATCTGCAAAAGGGAAGGGATAAACAATATGGATAGAAAATATCCGAAAGAAAAAACAAAATAATTACTGCGGTCGTTAGTCCAACAACAGCAATTCTGAACTATCTATGAATAAATAAATTGAAACTACAATCGTAGTAATTGAAAAATATCCTGTATCTTTCCCCTATAGACCCAATATGTGATCTTTACACTAAATAATAAATAAATAGACTAATGTAGACTAAAGTAATTCACAGAGCGACTGTAAATAAAGTAGAAACTACTACCGTTTTGTGTTTCGAGGATTAGGAAAAATCTAACCCTATCCTTATATCAACCACAAGCTCATCATGTGTTGTTCGTATTCCTAGTATAGGATAAGCTATTGTTGCGGTATGTTGACGCCGATTCATTTGGCTACTTGTATTTATCGTCTCGTTTGAGGTACCATACAAATTGTTCCTGGCACAAGTCGCTCGTGAGTTCAGAATCGCGTGGAAATCCTGCTGTGTCAAAGTATAGTCTGACTTTCTGGCGAATTGGTATGCCATCTCATTCGGTTTTGCAACATAACCCAAAATTGCCCTTGAGATAATTCGCTATCGTCCTTCGAATCAAGTAAGGGGAAATCGGCGTCCTATTACTCGATCTAATGCCACTGCGTCCTAACCACTTTCTGACAGGAAAGCGCTCGTATAGTTCCGTTGCTCTTTGCGAGTAGTCCATCGGTTTTGCAACCCCCTGCCGTTCTTTCATGAAGCAAGTTCTGTACTTGGCGAACTCGTCCAACCGGAGCGTTTCGTGGGAAGTATTAGAGCAACTTGGCCACTGAAGATGTAAGTCATTGATGAGATCTTCATCAAGATCCTCGACAACGAGGGTGTCATTAGTACAATAGGTGGGTCCATCAGCACCTGTGGGCAAACAACAAAACACATCTGGGCGTAGTGCATTTGAAATACATTCTCTCAAATGCTCTTCACGGTTATATAGTATGACAATATTTAAGGGGCATATAAGCCGCTTGTCGCTTACGGTCAAGATAACTTACTGTTCAAAAGCTGCCCCACTTTCGAACGATGCTTATCTGACCGTGGGATGCTTGAGTTACACATTTACGACTAAATACCGGGAAACAACGAAAACTCGCTAGAAATATGATCTGTGCATGGTAACACAACCCATGAAGCACACAATTTGAGAGAATGAAATAAGTCATGATCGATATTTAATTTTATAGGATAATATAAACGTAAAAATTGGATGTCGATGCCATATGCGTAATAAGTAGTAAGGCCAATAAGCACTAATGATCGACGAAGGACATTTGGTACTGGGACAGGATTGTTTGGAAGCACGGAATCCGACCCCTGTTTCTAGGCTAAGTCTAACGGCATCAAAAGGCCTCGGCGATCTGTTGGTACGGCGAACACTTCCCGTGATGAGTAACAAACTCGCTAACACACACCATATATAGTAGGTTCCTAACACATAACAGAGACCATAGAAAAAAAACTAATAAGTAATGACGAACAGAGCACACATGTAACTTTTTAGCATTCATGACGTCGTCGTAGAAACAGATGCCTTAATATGATTCAGCTATTTCGATCCGTTTGTGCAACCGTTAGCAATAACAACTAC